GTCTCTCCGCGCGAGACTCTCTCTCTCTCTCACCCCCCCTCTCTGTGTGTGTTATTAGCCCCTCTCTTTTTGTTCTCCTGCCCGCCCCTTAATCTCCGGGTTCTTCCTTACTCCACGTTGTAATGTCATCTCATTTACAGGATTGGTTAATTTTCTAACGAGGCCACGAATGCCTTTAAACAGACGCCATGGCCCAACAACAGCACGACCTGTTAATCATCAAAAACACCCGTATAAATAAACGAATGACACGAAGGAAACGAAAGAGGGAGGAAAACACACTCATTGTTAACTGAAAATATATAGGATGACGCGTATTACACATACTGGGAAACAAAAGTTTCACAAAAATCATAATAATAACTGTTGTTTGTTTACCACTCTGGCTTATTTATTTATTTGTTTATTATTGATATTAATTTGATCCAAAACCATTTCTCACAAAATAGGAGCACATTGGGTGCTTTAGTAAGTACGTTCACTTAAAGAAGTAAAAATCAGTTTTCACGTGCTTTTCTTGTGATACAAAATTTAATTTTAGGGCTAACCTGGACTTCATTGTATGGCAAAGGAAATACTGTACACTAGTGTTTTTTTCTTGGTGTTTTTTCAATTATTTACAGAGGAACCTTTGGATTTTGTCACTGATTGCCTGCAAATATGGGAGTTTGAACTCCCAACACGTTGTCCTATTACTACAATGCACTATTACATTTAGGTATATAATAATATTCTTTGTGGAGTATGAAATATGAGTGAAAGTAACAACCTTACTATTTTCTTTTTCTTTCTCCTTTTCTCTTTTTCTTTTTTATTCATCTTTCTTTACCTTCCCATATTTTTATATATGTTCTAATTTAATTTTATTTTATTGAGTGACTGTGTCTTCTTGTTCACTGAGAGAGCTCCACCTCACAGATAAGATTCTGATTCTGATTCTGATTCTTATTCTGATTCTTATTCTGATTCCTTCCTTCCTTCCTTCCTTCCTTCCTTCCTTCACTGTGGAACCATAGGCCAGTGAGTTTAAATCCAGGCCTGTAATTATTTCCATCTTCTACCTGCACATTCTCCCTATAATTTATACCCACATAAATGCATGTTCCGTTTTTAAGCATATATGCAACAGATTTTTGCATAAAGGCTATTAATATGAAAATTCAATGCTTGGATAGCAGTTACAATACCAGGGTGAATGAGTCTGTGTATGTGTTAGATCTTGGGGGTCATTTGTATCTGGGTATGCATGGAGGGGCAGTTTGTTAACCCTAATCTTAACCCTTCAATCCAACCAGATCTTATACTGTTTTACACATTGAGGTATTAGTTTTACGGTGATAAAACCTGCGGTACTTTTTCAAATTATTCATATTTTAAAGGGACCATTCAACCCCAAATGGCCTGCAGCACTGTTATTCATGCTGCCTTTTTTATGTAAGCATTTTTATGATACAATATAACTGGATGGCTTATGCTGCACAAATGGACGTGACAAACATAAAAATGGGAAATTTGGAAAAATGTAACATCAGTTTGTCCTGAAAAGAGTTTAATGTAGAATCTGTTTTGTTTCTAACTGCAAGCACTGACTTTAGCATTAATATACATTTCTCCTGGATGTAGTAGTAATTGATTTTTACTATTCTTTTTTTTTTTTAAAGCTTTACATAAATTCTATATTCATTAAGCTTTTCATTGCATTATATTTGATCATTGCACTAATGATTTTTGGAATAATTACTGTTATTGCAAAACCCTAAAGTGAAATAATCTCACTACTCATGGCAGTAAGGCAGAATTTTATTCTCACAGACTAAAAATGATCATAAATTTGTTTTGTCTGCATTTTTATTTCTCTATACAGAAAGTGGAATCTGCATAGGAGCTTTTTCTACTATCCCACAAAGCCCGTTGTTCTCATCCTCACCATTTTTCATCTACCGTTACGTCAGCCCTGCTTTGTATCAGACACACAGCCACTTCCAAGCCACTTTCACACTCGTGTCCCTTCCCCCTGCTTCATCTGAATCCACACATGTACACTAGTTACACACACACACACACATCATCACCACCACCACCATTACCATGCAGGGGAAACAGCAGCCTTGAACTTGTCTGGCTCCTCCCCCTCCCACCACCAGTCCTCATTTAGAACCACCAACCCCCAACACACTCCTCCATTTCTCTAGCTGCCTCTGCATGCAGGCATTCCCCTGGCAACTGTGGTGTGGTGGTGTCTGCCTAGCAACCCTTCTACTCCATCTTATATGGCTTATGGTATGGGTGGAGTGGTGGTGGTGGTGTGGGGGGCGGTAGCAGTCTAATCACAGACAAAAGATCTCATAAGTATGTTGTGGTTTTGTTGGGGAGAAAGCAAGAGAAGCGGGACCTAAAGGATGGGTCTCTGCAGCTGCACAGGTCTGCAGAGAGATAACCTCATATTTCAGCTTTAAGCCACAGTTTTTGAGGTCAATATGACTATTATTAGTACTGTTACTGTTTGGTTTGGTCCTTACTAAATCACCACTACACACCACTTACCAATTTTTGCTGGTCTATTGTTGTCTTAATTATGATCTCTTTAAAATCATATTTTTTAAATTGATTTAACTCATGAATCCAATTTACTATTTTTGTTTTTTGGTTGTTTTGGGGGGTTTTGGGGGGGACAAGTCATATGCCACGCCTCCCTTCCCTCACCTTAATAATTTCTATGTATTTACTCACTTATGTCTGTTTTCTAAATGATTTTGTGACTGTAAACTCGATTATAGCTCATGCCTTGTGCAGCTCATTGTGTTTCCACCTGAAATGAAATGTGCTTTTAAAAAATGAGGAAGCAAATTTGTCTTGTTCAGTTTGCTTTCATTTTGTTTTCTTGCCTCATACTCGCACTGTGCTTTGTGGGGTGAAAGAAGTCAGTAAATGATGCTTTGCGAATCTTGTTGTTGTGCGTGTGCAGCATGTGTTACTGTAGTAAGCACAAAGGAGTAACACTGCTGTGAATGAATGGAACGACTGAATGAAAGTCATACAGCATGCTGCTAAAGACACTTGGCGCCACCTGGTGCTGGTAAAAAAAAACATAAACTAAAAGTGAAAATGGATTTTTCCAAGAATACAGAATTATGCCATTCAGTCATCTTCTGAGACAAAAGGCAATCATTCATTTTATCTACATCTGCTTTCTGGCTCTGTGCTGTTCTCAGAGTGTGTTTCACTATTACATTTCATATGTCTGCGAACTCATTTCTATTATTTTCTGGTGTTACTAATGTATTCTGAACCTATATCCTTCACTTCCATGTGGGTCGTTCAGTCTCCACCGCAGCTGCTTCGAGGCTAAAAATAGCTTTTCTGTTGCTGACGTGATAGATGACTCATGCAGTGTCACACTGCTCTCCCTGCATTCACCCCTCTCTCCCCAGCACTGTCCCACACACTCCACTGTCCATCTCAGTATCCTTAACTCAGTGCAAATGGATCAACAGTGAGGTGGTGTTTACAGTTTTAAAGTCTTTGTTAAAGGAGGAAAGGCCATAAACAAAACTGAAATGATATTAGTTTATGGAAAGAAGAAAACTCGTGACACATTGGTTGTTACACCCCTCTGCAGCCCCTAATCTCTTTGCATTGGCAGTGCAAGAGTCTTCAGCTGCAGCTAATTGACTACACCTAGTCAGGTGTGGATAAAGGCATACCTGAGGCAGGCTTTCATGGAGCCTCACTAGTCTTTGTCTTAGTGGTACTAGCTTTTTAGCTAACTTGTTATGTTATTTAAAATAAAACCTTGTCTCTGTGAAATTCTAGTGTTAGTCTCCATATTTATGTTGCGGCTTTTGAGCCGGATTGCAACATTCAAAATCTGGCGCAGTGGACCCTACAGAGGTCCAGTGCCACACCATAGCTCCTGTTGTGCCCAGCATTAGTGCCAGATGTGGCTTAAAAATCCCTTTCTTAAAAATATCTGTCATTCAGAAAAATGCAACACAGTCATTCACTGTTAAACTATGATCAGTCTAAATTTATTTGGAGTTTTCAGTGTTTGTGATTGTGCATATGCAGGCCGACATTTAAGTTGACTGTCTAAGGTAGCCAAAGATAAAGACAATTAAATATCAATTAAAGACAATTAAACGATTAAATACCTTCAAATAAACCCTTAAAAACCCCTTTAAGGTGTGTTGAGGGTTAAGCCTTGGTTTTAGTATTAAAAGCCAATTTTTAGGTTAGGATTAATGTAAGAATTTTACACTTATTTGTGATGACTATTAAACAGATGGGGATGTGTGTGAGTGCAAAACCAAATGCAGATTGTTTGTGATTTTAAATTGTAGTAAAAAAAATTGCAATTTCTTATCAGGAAAAATGCTCACGGTGGTTTACATAAAGCAGGATTTTATTTCCACACAGTTGAGTGCACTCACAGTTTTGAAAAGTAACATCGAGGTTACGATAGTGAATGGCACAAAAACCACAGTACACTCCAAAACGTCATGTGAATAACAGCTTAATTTTACACACAAAATAA